TTTAACGCTAAAAATCAGGTTTCGATACCCACTATGGGCTGAACACAGATAGCTCATTGTGTAGCATTGTGCTTAACAGCCAACAAACATAAAAATATTATGTAGAAGGCGCTTTATTGCAAGTTCCTTTCTGTTATGTTAATAATCTGTCCATGCAAATATTGCGTAAAGTATATATATTTTAAATGCTTACTTAAAAATAAAATAAAATACATAAACATGAAATACAAACAACACAAAAGTAAATAAAATACATAAACATGAAATACAAACAACTCAAAAGTAAATAAAATACATAAACATGAAATACAAACAACACAAAAGTAAATAAAATACATAAATATGAAATATAAACAACACAAAAGTTTATTTGTTTTAACTAACGTCGCTTTTTACTACCTTACGATAGAAGACGAAAAGTAAATGGTGGTTTGTTTAATCAAAGAATTTTGGAAAAGAAATTTATCTATTAAATTATATGTTTTCATAACGGACTATCAACGTTAATGTTTAGGTACTTTTCAACTTTCTAAAACTTTCTAAAATTCATTCAAAGTCATAGATGTTTACGTTTACTAAAAATGTTAATATTTTTATTACTTATTTAATATATTTTATTTAATAAAAATAAAGAATCGTGACAGCAATTTAGGGCAGCGCCCAACTGCTTTTAAGAAGCTTGCACACCTCATTCAACATAGAAGATTCAATGAAGCGGAAAAATAAAGTAAAGAAAGAACAGGAAAGCGTGATGTAACAAGAAAATGGGCAAACCTTAGAACAGAGATCACATCTTAGAAGGCAACTTCAAAGGCAAGGAACTCTCCTAATAAAACTCAACAGACAGAAAAAAGAGAAAAACAAAACATTAAAACAGTAAACTGAACGAGTACGAAGAAGGGAATTTTAGGAGTATGTAGGAGCAAAGGAAAGGAAATAAACAAACAATAAAGAAGTTGAAGTTTCAGTTGAATTCCAAAAAACTGAAGAAAAAAGTAAAAGAAGACACTTAATGATACACAAGGGCTATTTGAGCATTGTCATCCCCAGGTTTAAATCTATACACTAGAGAGAAGGCAGCTACTCAACAGTATCCACCGCCAACCCTTGGATAACTATTGTCTGATTAAATAGTGAGATTTGATCGCGCCCTTATAGTACACCCACAGCCCAAAAGTACAGAACGGGTTTTGTTTTGTTTTTTTGGCAAAGAAACATGAGTCACGAACTCTAAAATTTACAATCCGGGTATACTAACCAATAGGCAACGAGTGGAGAAATATCAGCTGCATTGGCTACACCAAATGAATTTCTTTATTGTATAAATAAAGTCCAGTGGAATTGGTGTGAAGAGTCAAAATCTTCGATCATAGGAAGATCAACCAGGCTTATTAAATCAGATCATAAATATAGGGTGTGTTGTCGGAAACTTGTTGAACCGGTCTGAGTGTTCGAATGACGACTTGAAGGAGGTTATAGAAGTGAAAAGCTGAATAGATAAAAATTGAAGGGTACAAGGGTTTGTAGTTAATTTGATTTTATTTCGAATCAAAGAGGGAATTTGCCGTCTCATGTGTGGCAGCGAGGTGTTTCAGCCAATGAAATCATCTTCCATTCGCAAATTCAAAATTTAACCGACAAATGTCACTAAATTATTCATTGTTGTTTAGAGTTTTGAGTGTAGTTTGAAAGAACCAAATGTATTCTTCTGGTTAATTTTGTTTGTTGTTAATCGCAAAGCTACACAATGGCGGATATCAAAACGCTGTTTTTACCGTTGTAAGCCTCAGTCTTACCACTGAGCCACTGGTTTATTTGTATAATTTTTGAAACTGTTTTACATAACGAAGTACAAGCTCTTACACAGGAAAATATGATGACGAAAACTTAGTAATTTTAGTCATCTGGTGTTGTGACAACAGTAAAACAAAATAATACATTATGATTTTTAAATATAGTTTTTAAGTTAGATAATTTAAATATTTGCTTTTAAAATTATTTGTAATCTTAACAAAACTAAAAATAGAGCCAGTTTATACAAAACTATTAAAAATAAGCATACGAATTCACCAAATATAATTCACCAAGAAAATGCACTGAAAATACAAAAAAATCGAACAAATAAACATGAGGATTATTAACTGTAGAAGATAAAAACAAATAACTTCACATTGTGTCCTAATTACTGATAATTTAATAGATGATGTAAAACAGCCAATTCCAAAATACAGAGGTTGGGTATGTTAAATAAAAACAATTTTGGAGACTCATTTCGTTGTTAAAGTCCGTGTCGCCAAGTCCAGTCATGCTCTCTATGATGATTATGCATCTTGAAAATAGCCTCACAGAGTAGTTTCCATTGTAAAATGTATCATGAGTAAGTCATCGGGCTTATAACGCTAAAACCCAGGTTTCGATACCTGTGGTGGACACAGAGAGCCAATTGTGTAGTTTTGTGTTTAACAAGAAATAAATAGAACTATTGTAAAGGGTCTGTCGCATGACTGTCACGTTCAAAGCACAAAACCTTTCCTTGCTGCTTTCCATAATTCATCTACTGTGTGAGTACGACGGATTTGCAGCATCTGTTTTAACAATTTGACACACGGAAGCCTATAGATGCTGCGTCCGGCAACATGGCCAGTATGTATTCGTATGGAATAGCATAAATGCCCATTTTATATTTCAGATGCTTAAGGTATGCAATGATTGAATGGATATCGTGGAAGCAACTTGTGTTATTTTTCCAGATGGAGACTCTTGTTGATTATATTTTTGTGGATTCTCACCTGTTACAAATTACTTTGTGGATGGTCCTAGTGATCTAAGTTGATCCAGATTTCTTTTTTCCATGGCCTCTGAGTACAAGAGATATCTCCGTTTTTGACATTTTAAACGCCGGCTTAAATACAAAAGCTGTTGAAAAAGGCTGTTACATACTCTTCCCGAAAGCGATCGATCTTCTGTAGCATAACACTACCTACGAACCTGCGAAACGTCAAGTAATGTCAAAATGAATTTCTGATACGTTTCGTTCCACCGTGACTTTATATCGGCTCTAGTTGTCACATGATATACTATAATATTTCTTAGTCGAATGCAAAATCACGAACCAGATTTTGAAATAGAAATAATAATGAAAAATATTTAGAATTATTAGTGATACAAAATTAAACATTGTTTTCCTATTAACGATTCTGATTTGTATATTTTCCACATCAATCATATTTACTTTTAAGTCGAGTAAAAAAGAAAACAAGTTTTGAAATCAAAAATTTGCTTAAGAAAATTAAAATCAAAACACCTGACCAAAGTAATGTAAAATAAATTATACTAATCAACTGTTCAAATGTTCTTTTCAGAAATTAGCCAACTATATTACATTTTTTAAGGAGGGTTTGTTTTCCGAATACTAAAAAATAAAAGAATATAAAAAAGTATAATCACATGCTTCCAAAATTTAATAAAATTAAGACCAACCATTAACTTAGCGGTAAGTCTACGGGCTAATATCGCTAAAATCGGTTTCCATTCCCTGCGGTGGACAAGTCAAATATCCCAATGTGACTTTGCTATGGAACAAGCAAATATAAACATCTTACAGACGTAATATTTCTAGAGTTTGCAAAACTTTCGGTTAAATGTAGCATTATAGTTTTAATTTGTAATTAAAACGTGATTTGTAGTTTCCCTATATCCTAATTAGATGTATATATAGTTTTATTTCAAACAGAAAAAATATCAAGATTCTAACACCCTTTCAGAATACTACAGTCTTGAGGTAAATGTCTTCCAGAGTGATGTTTTGAGTTCTCCTCTTTTCATTTTATACACTAACTATGAGCCGTGTCTTACAAATAATTCTAATGTCCTCACGACATTACATAATGAACCTTCTCAACTCAAGTTTTGGAATTGTTCAAAATATTCAAACTTGGAATTATGGTATAATTTATGTAGAATTGTTCTTAACTTCGGGAAAACCAGTTTATTATTGTTTATATGAAATATTATATATCAAAACAAGAAATATCTGAAATAGACAATGTTAGAACTCAAATCCCTAACGTAAGTGTTAAACCTATTAACTCTATTCTTCAGTGGCTCAGTGGTAAGTCTGTAGACTTACGACGCTCTAAACCGAGTTTCGATATCAGTGATGGGCAGAGCACAAATAGTCCAATATGAAGTTTTGTGCTCAAATGTTTGGATGTAATAAATTATAGAAAAGAAGAACAAAAAGAAACAATTTATTTAATTTAAAAAAATAGGATGAGCCAGAATAAACGTACTTAGTAAAATTACATCAAATCATAAATATACAATTGAAAAATGTATAAAACTTTTATAACATATTTTTGAATATGTATGTAATTTTCCGTCCAATGTTTAAATATATACATTAAACTCATTATAAGTAATATACCTCTTTATATCCCTGTTAAATTTTACGTAATTAACTTTTACTTTCCTAAGATGAATGAAAGGTTGGTTTTCTAAACAAAACTATTAAACTAAGCGTAAACTTTCTTTTATTTTGAAATATTTAAGAATAAGGACAAAGTATAAAGAAATGTAATTTTCCATTCCAATTGCTATGGAGATGTTTTATTTCATTTTATTTGTTTTCTTTTATTTTGAATTGTTGAATTTTATTAAGATTTATCACTTTTTTTTTTAGTTTAACGTTAACCTTATTTTCCACTTTAATTTTGAAATTTTGTTTCTGATTATATGATTATTATATGATTATATGATTATTATATGATTATATGATTATTATATGATTATATGATTATTATGTTTTATAATTTATGTTATGACGTGCTTTCGTTTTGGTGTTGTTGTATGTTAATTTATCATCTTTGTTGTTCAGTTTGATTTGAATATTTAATTTTATCTGTTTACATATTTTTAAACTTTAATTATTTGAAATGTTATTTTTCTTATTTTGGTTTTTATCTGTATTAATCTATTTCGTTTTCCAATTTTATTTTTAGCGCCCAGTGGCTCAGGGTTAAGTGTGAAACCGGATGTCTCTGGATCTATATCCTTTTCAGGATCTGGAAGAATTATGTTCATTCTAAGACCTCTTTCTCCCTCCCTTGCTGACGTTATTACCCCTCGTAGAGCTGTTTCTACACTATCTAACTTTACTGTTAAATGCTAGACGTTACAGATGAGGGTTGTATATTTCTTGATAGTCTTAGTAATACAGTAACCCTGTCATGTCTATTCGTGTATCAGCTGTAGCATTTTGTATTGTATGTATTTGTTTTAGTTTAGTATGTATAGTCCTAAACATTACAAACAGTTCCATATATCACAAAACACTCACTTGTTAGTATATCACGAGAGTATTGCACATACATACATTTTCTAATACTCATAATAAACTATCCAAATGATATAGATTTTAAAGTCTAGCAGTAAGTGGTCTGTTGCTATACTTACAGTATATATTAACGGGAAGGGAAAAACTTAGGCACAGTTTCATCATGCTGTAGTTTCTACCCAAGATTACAGTTTAGTGTTTTATTTGTTTAATTATCGTTATATTTAGCAATTATACTTTGACAATGTCCAAAGACTTATGTAAATTTATTTTATTCTGCTTTAGATACTGAAGATGGAATATAATAGAATTCCGAAACGTTTATCCGTGTCCCCTTTTTGTCAATAAACAATGTTGTATATCATGAGTGTCGTAATCTTGTTTATTATCATGTATGATATAATGGTATAAAAAACGCAGTAATTCGTTTTTGCTCTGATTTTTCAGAATAGTTGATCGAACCGTCTAGAAGTCTGTCCTATAGTAGCTGAAAATTCGCGTACTTGTGTAGGAAGACTGAACTTGTGGTTTTTGGCACCTTGTATGCTGCTGTAAGGATTGAATTTTGTATTGTTCGTAGTTTCTTTTGATCATGCGTTGGTAAGATGTTTATCCTTGCTGGGCAAACGTATTAGACTACTGGTCGTATATATTGTTTATAATGTTTTATGGTGTTGTTTCTGAGACATTTTTTGACAGATTCCTAACGTAGTCCGCTCGTCGGCAAATTTTATTACTGATTTGTATATTATGACGTTGCTAGGTTAATTTCGAGTCACAAGTGACGTCTAAAAATTTTACTGATGTAGCAGTCTGAAGGAGGGTTCCATGTAAGTATATCTTAGGTGGGTGTTTTTGCGTTTTAGTTCATTTTGAGAATAGAAACATTTATTTTATTTCTATGCTTTTGAAAATATTCGACTATTTGGCATCGATTGTAGATTTGTAGCAATTATGGAAGGTGTTGGATAGCTCTTGCAGGTTGCCAAATTGTCTGCAAATAGTGAACAAAAACAGAAGCTTGAGTCTGTTAATGGCATATTTCTTCAAAGAAAGAAGTCTGAGAGTTTCCATAAAAGGTTTTCGTGCAAATACATATTGATTTCAGCAGCTGAAGAAAACCTGGACCAGGAAAAAACGGAATTTCAGTCTTAATCTGGTGACGCACAGCAACTGGAAAGTTGAAGAACGAATGTTAAAAATGGCTAAGACTGTTTAAACACTCATTCCCATCTTAAATAAAAATATAATTCAACTTATTAGTTTGTATGTGTGATTAGAACCCGAGAGCTGTTAATAAATATTCCAAAATTTGACAATGAGGCAGATGCCATAAAAATGTTTTCAAACTAAAAAGAAGGGAATATGTAACCAAGAAAACTAGCCTTATTCTTTTATATATATATAACGTTGAACTGGTACGGTAATAAAGTGTTATTATTTTATATTGTTCATGATAATAGAATATCGAAGCTACTTCTCACGATTCGAGAGAAACTTTTCTCCTAGAAACCACCCACTGAGATAAAGAGACTAATGTGTTTGGTCCAGTCAAGAGTTTTTATTTCGGTTTTCTTTCAACGAAGAAATAAACCAGTTGGACATTACATCTTAACACGTGCAAAATTTATCGCTGTATCTAATCGTCTTCTCTCAATAATTGTGTTAGGTCCAGACAGGTCGAACTAACTAATCATATGATACTGACGTAATAAATAATTTATACAAATTGAAAATCAGTTTTAATTCCTGAAGGATACAACGAGTTATAAACCAGAATATTTATTGAATTATATTTCATAACGCTTCAGTTGTGCTCTAAGATATGAAACATATAACTAGTAAAATAAATTACCATTTAGTATTTTTTTTTCTAAATTTCTTAAAATTACATATAACTGATAATTCAATCAAGACAACGTGCTTTTCAGCGCGTAATGAATAATGTTAAAATACTTCAAACATATATTACTGGGGCAGAGATACAATTTGTTAATAAACAGCACAAAGATTCTGACACTTCTTGAAATATACCAACCACATGCAGAAAGATGGGAGATATTCAATACAAGATCAAGTAGGAATCGATTAGAGTGAATAAGTTTTATATACTTATAATTATTATGTCCTTTTTTATTACAGGCCTTTAGATCACGAAGTGATTGAAATTATCTAATAATGTAATGTACATTTTCTTGTATCTATCAATGTGCCATGTACACGAAAAAAGAAAAAACATAGATCCTCAAACAACTTTAATGTGTTCCAAACAGGATCTCAAGGATATGATAATATTATGTAATTTTTTTAGTAAGTAAGATTTGCTGAAAACTCAGTCTGGTTTTTGAATAGTGGCCCTGTGGGGAATATATAAGCATGACTTGCCTCTTTGATCAGATCTATACTGCATCTTGATTGTTGTAGCGAAGAAGTGATTCGAGGTTATTTATTTTCCTCTCAGGTGATTCTAATCCACAATGGATTAATACAAATGGTTTTTGCTACCTAGGTGGTCACGATTTTCTAATCTAACTGACTGGGTGGCTTCAGTTGAAAATAACAACTTTGATAACATACCACGACTCAATAAATTAATATTTAAACACACACATAGACAAATGTTAGAAATGATAAAAGAAAGTCAGAGCTTAAATAAAGTATGCCATACGATAGTAATGACTTTATAAAATCCCGAAACAAATGATAAATGATAAAATCCCACTGTTATTACAGGACAGACTCTCGTTCATTTAATTTGTGATTAACTCAAAGCATGTCAATAACAAGTACAGTTTTACCACATAAAGACCACGAATTACGTTTCTAAGTTATATCAAGAATATAATATATTTTACCAGAAATAAATTTTGTAACCGTTTTATGTGAATATAATTCATAATTTGAATAAAAATTTTAAAAAGTTATTAAACTAAATTTAGTTTTTGAGGATTGTTTTTAATTCAGAATATGCGAACAAGCTCTCAATCTTTCTGAAAAATCTTCTGCACGCTGAAATAAAGACTTAGTTTATCGATTTTGTGCAGATTAGTATATTTGGGAAATGTAATTCTGCTCGTATTGGCGAAGCTTATATTTATATAAACAATTTTCAAAATTATACAACTTATGATAAATAAATTATCAAATTTTGTCAATACTGATAGTAATAACCTTATTAATAGAGAAACATACTCAAAATGATTGGTTTTAAAATTGTTTTAAATCAACCCAATATAGAAAGAATCCTGAAACTCCTTAAGTTAGAGGATGAGATCATATCAGTCAAAGCTTCTGAAGCAAGCTTTTCTTCAAGTGTACAATAAATGTTTCTTCTGTTATGAGAAGTTATATTAATCCATTTGATATCGCCAACTAAATTTTCTGTCAAAAGAGCTCAAAAACAATCTTGTGTCAAATTCCAACAAAATGTAAAACAGATTGTTACCTGCTGACTTAAAATCATGAAATACTATAGTGCAGGATTTCTGGTCTTCGCCTATAAGGTAAAATATGATAACAATTGCTACTTGAAATGTCAATGAGAACATCAAAAACATTTTTTGAAGGAAAAAAAAAGAGACTTCACAAAGATACATCTGCGAGACTAGTTGCTGAAATTGTTGCATGGTTCTCAAAGAGAAATGTATACACATTGAGTGACATTGTCGAGTTTAATAATTAACTGTTATGTACTGAAACTTTTGAAATCAGCGATGTTTATAAAGACAGGTTAAAATTTAACATTGTGAAGCACTATAGAAATAAAATATTCTTCGTTTGCCTATCTGGACAATAACAGTCACTTCTTTCTTCTGAGTCAATTGGTGATGTTGTTCAGCAACTAAACATGAACTGGATGACAAACTGATCTAAGAAGATGTCCTTGCACTTGAAATCAATGATGAGAAGTAGCAGTGAGTTGATGATGTGTACTTTGTATCATCAAGACTTTGGAATTATTTAGAGCAGAAATCAGGATATTTGCCATACAAAGTTCTCACCTTTCAAACGGCCAGATACTTGATTCCTGACAGAAATACCCGTTGCTAAATCTAACTGCCAGGAAAATTAGCGAGGATGACAGTGAACAAAAGATTGATATGGACGTGAGTCGACGAATCCAAAGCATTGCTCAAGATATCATATTCGATTCATCTAATAGAAAGAAACCAACGTAAAAAAGCATTGCCCTAGGGTTAGCTGTCCATTAAACAACTCGTTCTAGGCCATTCGTTCAGGTCATCCATGTCACTGTTTACAGTGTCTGCTACGAAAGAGAATACAGATAATCTTGAATCCAATTGTTACACATCACATTCAAATATTCCTAGAAAGTAACTGTATGTTTGTTCTAGACAATCTTGTTGATGATCGATTCAAAATTTTGTGACTGATGATTTTTTACATATTTGAAGAAACCGCAGATTGTCTCTATACTTTGTATGGCACTCATAATGTGATATCTGTTGGGTGTTCAAACAATTAACAGCAATGATGGGCGAATTACTGCATACACACACATTCTGGCCACCATTTCCAGATGACTTTCACATACTTGAAGATTTATGTATTTCCTGAAAAGCCTCACTTTGCTTTTACATTAACTGTGGCAGGGCTTGAAAAAGGTATATCAGCCCATTGTCTGCCCTGCCCTGTTGACATTGTTTGGTTGGTGAATTGGATGGTCACATGTATCAATATAAGTAATGTGTACCTGTATGGGTAAGCTTCAAAACCTGTTTGTTTACAAAGAATAAGAATGAAACTACATTTCACTAATGTCCACTTATTCTTTCTCCAGAAATTAAATACGATATGGTTGGGACAGTGATCAAGCACTGCTTGAGAATATCAGAAGAGATTGGCATTTGG